ATGACAACTATGTAGCTCATCTGTGCATTATATAGCTATAAAATATAAACATGAATAAGAATAATTTATAAATTATCAAGGGTTCACAAGGGTGTGGGGAGGGGCAAAAAGAGGAGCTGATACAATGGCTCAAGTAGAAGAAAATGTTTTGGAAATGATGATGGCAACATATGTACAAATGTGCTTGATACATTGATGTTATAAGAGCTGTAAGAGCCCCCAATAAAATGATTTATTAAAATTTTTTAAAATACAAGCTATATATATAAACATGAAACACTAATTTAATATAAAAATCTCAACATACTATTAACAGAGTGAAAGAATGGGGAGGGGGGAAAGTGGGGGGGGGATCGTCTAAGGGATAAATTCTGGTAAGGCACATAGTTGGAAGTCAATAGATGGCATTTAAAACTAAAGCATTAAACAAGAGCAATATAGGTATATCCATAAACATGGTAACGATTAATAGATCCTTTGGGTTATGGTAGAGGAGGTTGGTGGGTAATGGAGAGCTAATAACAGCAAGTACAAGAATGACAAAAATATCCTAAAGTTGATCATGGTGATGATTATACAACTCTTTTTAATATATTTAAACTATTGACTTGCATGCTATGTGAATTGCATACCAATAAAACTGTTTAAAACCAAAGAACAACCACAGGAAAGTTGAAAACAAACACAAAAAGGCATGTCATTTGGAGTTGTGGCAATAAATGCCAGGAGAAAGAGCATAGTTGAAAAGTTGGATTTCTCTAGAAAACAGGAATAAGGTATCTATCATTTTTAACATTCTAAATCCCTTAATACAGTTTAATTTGACTATGCTCATGTACTACTTAGTAAAAATATAATAAAGGGACATGTTACCAACAAAATGCTAAGCTAACCATAAATTTTGAATGAGGCTTGCCTTTCTATGATTTCTTCATTAGAAGAGCTATTTTCATGAATTTGAAAACTAATAGAAACCACCCTCAGGTAAAGGGAGGAATCAATAATCGATATTATCTTAAGCTGACTCCAAAGGATCCCTTCATTAATTGTTCCACCTCCACCAAATGCTCCACATCTCTAGCTGAGACTGTCCTCATGCCAGCTAGCATAAAGACCAAGCGTTGGCAAGCTACAGCCCCCAGGCCAAATATGCCCTGCTGCCTGTTTTGGATGGCTATTAGTTAAAGGTGGATTTTACATTTGTAAAGGCTGAAAACGACAATGAAAGAATATTTTGTGACACATGAAAATTCTATGAAATTCAAATGTGTCCATTGATAACAAATTTTAGTGCACAGTTATTAGTTTAGGTATTGTCTGTGGCTGCTTTCATAATGCAGTGGCAGAGCTAAACAGCTGGAACAGAGATCATGTGACCTATGGCCTACAAATTCCATAATATTTACTATTTGGCCCTTTGTAAAAAATAAGTTTGCAGGCTCCTGCTGTAAGCCCAGTGCTAGAGCAGATGCGAACAAATCTCCAGAGCCATTGTATTTGTGTATCAGAAACAGAGGCAGGAATAGAACCAGTAAGCTGCGTCAATCTAAAACTTCTGTAAACTTTCAGTATCTTAAGGGGAAAAAGTCTGTGCCATGTAAGCTGCTCACTTGGTTTTTCTTTTGTTAATTTTTACTTTATATTGCTAGTTTGTCTTCCTAAGTTTCTTAGTAAGGTAAAATTCGCAGGAGACTAGTGTTCCCTACATATAAAACTCAGGTGGAAACCTGGGGAAACTCTGGCAGTTAAGTGGCCACCCACTACACACACAGAGTACATTTGGTGTAATACTAATAAGGGTTTCTTTACCACCTAAAGGGCTCCTCTATCCTAAGAGTGGAGTGTAAAAAGTGCTGACTTTTATAGCCATAGCTGGCTTTTTTTACATAGAATGGCATACCAGTCATACAACATCTATATAGCTTAGAACAGTACCTGAGGAATACCATGCTAACCTACTCTATGTGGCAGTTACGTATTCTGTCAACTTGAGCGAAGGGGAGGAGGCTAGCCTGTCAATCAGGTCACAGCCAATCATGTCTCTGTGTGGACATGGCTTTCTCCTGAGCATTTTGGGAGTTCTTGTCTTCCTCCTTGAAGGTGGGAAACTCTCTGAGCTTGACATTGCTGTTGACAAGCCACATGGAACTATGCTGAGGGAACCACAAGCCTGGAGCAGGAGGAGCCAATGTGGAACCCACACCAAGCACTGAGATGCTTCCACTGCCACTGGATCCACAAGACTTTACACCCACGGGTCTGTGATCTTGGGACACTCAGCATCATTGCATGTGTTTCATGAGTCTGAAGAGGAATTTATAGACTGGTATTGGACATATGGGCTAATATCAGACTTAAGGACTTGATCTGGACTGGGCTGGGATGTTGTCTCAATATACAATTGCTCTTTTATATAAAGCTCATTCTTATGCATGAATGTCTATGAATTTGTTTCTCTAGTCAACCCGAACTAACAGAGTCTATGAC